TATATATGATTCACTGGTCTATGTGATCTATCATTTCATTTTTTCCAGCGGAGACAAAAAATAAAAAAGTTTTCCAAAACATGAGCAATAATTGTATCAGGCAACACATCAAATTAATAGTTTCCGCAGAGCTGTAGTGCATTTTAAAACTCACCTGAAGTCGCCACCTTCCCACATAGAATGTGTCATTGCCCGTCAGTATCCAGCACTTATTTATACTCAGAAAATACTCCGTGTCATCACAAAGGAAACAGAAAGAAACGTTCCACAAACAACACTGTGAGGGTATTCATAAACAACTCGCTCCAAAGACCAGGTGCTTACATGGCATCAAACAGTATGTCAAAAGCATAATTAATAAAGAAATAAATATCATGCAATAATGTGTCCCACACATAATTTTATCACTGACCTTTAAGAGACTTTTACGTTTCCATTTACTTTTCAATCATCTTTTGTGTATCGTTTTGAATATACAATCATGTGATTTACACACGTTTAATCGCATAATTTTTTTTGTGTGTCATTACAAAAACAACAGTGACATCAACAATAATCATTTTATTATTAATAATAAATATCATCATCATAAAGTCTCATGATCATTATCATTTTAACTGTAAATTTCTTTCCCTCCAATTTTCTCTTCTGTATTCAGAATTGTAACCAGAATATAAATAACAATTGCTCCCTGGAAATTACATAAATGTTAAATCAATGCATGCTTCTTAAAACTTATGCAGGTAATTCTATGCATATTACATGCAATATTCACTGCAACCTTTTGTGTCACTTTTATAAGAAAATAAGAGAGAACCGTGAAGGTGAAATCAGCATCCGTCATATGAAGAAAAGAATGCGTTAGTTACTTTATTGTCATTTCTCTCCTACAGTATGTGGTAAGAAGACACATTGTCACAATGTAGAACAAAGGTATCAACAGCCAAAAGCATAATAATAATAGTGATGTAGACAGTCGACTGCATAATGACATCTGACAATCCTTAATAAAAGGATGATTCACCCCAGAAACTAAAATTCTGTCATCATTTACTCACCGTCATGTTGTTCCAAACCTGTATGGCTTTCACACACACACACACACACACACACACACACACACAAATTAAAATAAAAAGTCCACTGTCCATACAATGAAAATCCAGTGATGTTTGAACCCCAGCATTCTTCATAATATCACACAGAATGTCACACATGTTTGGAACGACATGAGGGTGAGTTAGAAATGTGAACATTTTCAGTTTGGGTTGAATTATCCCTTTAATATCTTTGCTGTGTGTTTTTGTCAATATATTTTCTTCATTTTACAGTGTAATATATTACAGTATAAATTATCCTTAGTGAGGATATTGTTGCACTTTCTCACTAAACAGAACAAGCTGAAGAAAATCCCTGGGGAGGATCAACTAAACAAAGTGCATTGATTCACTTGGCAACCATTCAAATCTTTAAGCTTAGATGCCCAGAACTGCAACATGCTTGACCCTTTTGTTCTTTAGCAGTAAGGCTGCTATTTTTAAAGTATGATATTTTCTTGGCACACATCTGTATGTTTCTGGTTATCTGCATATCTGCTGGATTTTTTTTTTTTTTTACACAAATATGAGTCGAATGTGTTTTAAGTATGACTCAGTATTTCTTATTGTAGGTGTTCTCTGATTCAGCGGATTCAGATCTGTTTGTAGGCGTAGAAGATTGATTCTACATTGTAGTGTTGCCACTGAAACAGCATGACCCAATATTCATACATGATAATTATCACACGAAGTACCAACCAGTGCTGACCAAAGCGCAAATGCTGTTGTCGAAATGTGAAACTGTCTGGGATTTTGAAAACTGGGTCTCACAGTGTTTTGTTATATATGTGAAACTTTGATCTGAAATTCTAACAACCGGCACGCATTCATCAACAGAACTGCAGTGTTTAAGGCTTTCAAAAGCTCTGCTTACCACAGCTTCCACTGTAACACCAATAACCGACCGTTAGTGAGTGACCTTTCTAGCAGAGAACCTCATACTTTAGTTTACTCTACTCTGAGGTGGGTTTTGCTTAGGCTACAACACGTTTAGTGCAGATATTTAAATCTTTTGCTTTTGCATAGCAGGATGTGATCGCGGAAGTATTGTTTTTTGGGGCGTATTTATTTATAATAAAGCACACTGCAATAAAGCTGAATCAACGCATCCAATTCAAACTCACTAAACGTAACTGGCTTAATATAAAGCAAACAACTACGAAACCCGGCTGCTACAATCTCACAGACACACACACACAAAAATTACATTTACATAAATGGGACTGTCCTCACAAGAGCAAATGACAAGTTTGTTTTGATGAGAATTCTTATTTTTGTGGTTGGCAAATGTCACACATGACATGTTCTGACTTCTGATAAGCCGCATTCTGATTTCCTCTGAAAGCCGGGCGTCACTCAAAATCGACAGTCACACGATTTTACATGCCTTTAAAAATTTGCACAGATAAACACTTTCACTGGAACGAGTGACAAACGCTCTTTCTAATTACGGAAAGGAACTCTCACTTATCACAAATAAATCTCTTTAGAATCAGTGAACAATTTCCATGCTTCACTTCTGTATATTATTGATTTATATCAGTAGGCTATAGACTATTCTGTTATTTGCACTAGGCCTTGCATTGAACAGATGAACTGCATTATGGGTGAGGGATGGATACTGAAGCAGATAAAGTGGAGGTTAATTTATTCTAAACCTTTTGAATCACTTCTATAGACTATGAAACACATGTAAATAAACAGTTTTTGCCCCGAACTGGCCTTTGAGGTAGAACTCAGGGTGAAGAAATTGATTAGCACAGGAAAGTAAATATTAAGCATTCATCTGTGTTAACAGACAAGAGAGGGTTCACGCATTGTGCTATTATTAAAAAGAAAGAAAAAATCATAAAAGGTTATTGAATTCAGAAGTATGTCGTGACAAAATTCTATTAGGCCTACAAAATGACAAACACTGCAATTATGAATATGTGGTAAATGTTTTATAGAAATTGATATTGTATAAAATGTAATATTATTTTAAATATCTTACTATATTTGTTATATTATATTATTTTAAAATAACACAAAACATTTATTCAATCATTATTTTTTATTTAGCCTATTCAGCCATTATGCCGTCACCATAATGGCTCCACCACAAAAAAAAAAAAAGAAAAAAAGAAAGAAAGAAAAAAAAAAAGTAAAGTCACCATACCATATCACACCACAAAAAAAAAAAAAAAAGTTTTTTAAACCACTCCACATTGTCATCGGTGCCTTTACGGTGATTAAGAACACTAGAAGACAACCTAAGTACAGTAGCGATATATCGTTCTGCACACTAGATGGCGCTATTGCACACGTAGTGTCCTTATTCATTTACAGTAAATGAGCGTTTTCTACTTGAGGCTAATGCTAAGTGATTTAAGCTATTTTAGTCCTAAGATTATTAATAAAAAAATATAACATTATTTTAAAAATCATAATAAAAGGTGATGATGATCACATACCAGATTATACGACAATGTTAAGGGTATATTTAGCCTTGTTCTGTGAGGTAACAATGTTCAACTTTAATGTCCGATAGCCTATATCATCTTTTCATATCAGTGACCATGATTGCACTAATGCAGTGCTATAAGCATCACATAAGAATCGTCTTACCGTTAGAAAGGGAAAGCATGGGCATTGATTCATCTCTGACTGATATTTAAATTGTATACCTACATTTTTTGCTGCCTACAAATGATATCAACTTTTAAAAATATTACCAAATACGCCTTTTTTGTACTTTCATTCCTTTCAGGTGACTGATTGTGTGTCCTCAGGTCGGTTTTCCCTTTGTCGAGTAAGGCCATCTGTTCCTGCGGCTTCCAGCGGTTCAGGCAGCTGTTTGGCCAGGCATGAGGGCACGCAGCGGATGGCTGTGTCACGCAGAGACAAAACACCTTTATACCAGGAAGTTACAGATAGATTAAACGCTCACACACCAAGGGCCTACTGATTGAGCTGGCTTACAACATTCCTCACTTCAGTCAAAAATGTGCCAAAGACCCAAAAGCTATGGAGGTGAGACGGGAGTGCTGTAAAGACATTCTGGGACAATACCCTAAGATAGCCTATAAAAGCCCTTAAATTATAGGCCTACATATTAGTGCATTAAACATAGGCTATAAGTACTTTTAAAGTATATAAAGCACAACCAATTTATTATTATTAGGCCTATTATTAAAAATAAAAAATAACAATTACGGAATAGGTATTGTTTGGACTTTTAATGAAATTTACTTATTGTTGGGCTATGCCATCCTCCATCAGCCATCCTGATTAATTTTACTTCAAAAAGGTAAACAAATATGAAAATGTAATTGAAAATAATGAAATGACAGGCGTACTGATATCTCTATATATGCCATATTTTTTGGGGACAAAATGCTAATTTTACGTTTTTGAAAACACTGGGCATTTAAAAGTTGTGGTTATCTATGTGACTTCAGTGCACCACTGTGACTATGTTGGAGAGAACAGCGTCAATGAGGCTGCCGAAAAATCCCGAGACTTTTCCGAAGGAATCCGATCCAGAGAAAACTGAGGTAGAGCGCAGAGACGGGAGCCGCTGTTTTCAATTCACCATCGCAGAAGAACCCATTACATTTCGTTTATTTTTCGTTACCATTCTTAATTTCAGCGATGGCACCGGGATACTAACAATCATGGCGAATTCCCGAGCAAAGAATCGGGTCTGACTGCCATGTGTGATCCATCTTTTTTGCATCACAGATCGTACCAGGCTTATGTATTTTAAATATATAGGACGCTTACATGTACTGTGTACATGTCTCCTCATAGAATGACTACAGTATGTGAGACAACGCTGATGCCAATGGATATACCGAGGGATGATGCGTGATAAAAACGGATTTATTCCTGTCGAAGATAAGATGTGTATCGGTGTGGCGTGGGAGAAAATGTCTTTGGCTCCAGCCAGAAAATGAAGATGGGAAGAAGCGCCGTGTCCTGTAGCCCAGTAGCGAGAGACAGTCGTTATTTACACATCTAAATCTGCGCACAAGATAATGATACTGACGCTGTATCTCAGGATTAAACGGTACCACAAAACACAGCTGAAATAGAGTAATTGTGCTATTAAACTCTGCTTGATTTAGTCACCGTGTGATGGGAATATACCGCTAAGGCTTGGCCTAGCTTTATGGAAAACCCGAAGACATGACATGCACACGAAAAAAGAGGAAACGATATTTTTTGTTTTTTAAAACCCGTATGTGTGTAATATTTCAGCTTCTGGCATAATATTGTTTAAACCGTTCAGCAAAAGACTTCCCAGTGAAACAGATTTTGGTTCTATTTTTCAGACGTGACCATTCCCTGTATTAATTAATTCATTAATTATTGTTATTTTTTTCATTCTCTGTTGTTCATAAAGGACGTAGAGGTTCATCTTGGATTACAATTTGGATTCATGTGCGATTCCTTGAACGCGTTGTGTCGGGTCGAAAAAACGTATTTGCACATTTTTGTGTGTGTTTTTATTTTGTATTTATTTTAATTTTTTATATATTTACAAGAAGCTCCCGTTAAGGCCTACCATCGAGACAAAATCCATTGTCTGGAGGAAGATCGAGAATTCTAGGTAAGAGCTCCATCACATTATGACTCTCCTATTTGATGTTTATCATTATTAGGCTACCTATAAAATGGGGGATACAAGTGCTCCAGCATTTAAATAATAATAAATAATATAATAAAAACGCATGACGCATACTATGTAGGCTACTGAAGTGAAATGCAGGCCTGTTTTATGTATTTGTTATTTCATTGTCCCTCATGCAAACGTGCGCGGGCGGAACAAGACACACACGTTGTAGTTCTTCATGATATTTAATGATAACTATGCAGATCACAATGCTCAGCACATCCAAGAAGATGTGGCTGGGACTGTAGGCTATATGCGCTCTGACAGTGTCCATACGGGTCATTTGCACTTTTGCGTATTGGCTGTGCGGGTCACGTCATTAGTTCTAGGTAAGTTCTTTCATGTGTTTGAAGTAAAACAATCGACAACGCACGCGCTGTAAAAGAGGAAGTTCAATAAACGATTCATGTATATTAGTATGATGCATCACCAAGCGCACCGATAGCCCACATGAAGATGATGGAGATACGGAGAAAACGTTTTATAAAAGTTAACCATGAACGACGGGATCACATTGTTCTTTCTTTGTCGTATTAAAACGATATGTGGGAGAGTCGAAATGATTCAGGCTCGTTTGGTTGGTGAATTCCGCGTCGCCTCCTCCCACCGAGACAAACGGTAGCGATATTCACTGCTGTTGCTATCCAGCCTTCTACCTTCAACCAACTCCCTTTACATCTGACTCCTCCCAACGACATCGAAGGCCTTCTCACTATTAATGCGAGATAAGAGCACACTAAACCTCTGGAGGCAAATATTAAAGACTGATGATCGCCCAAGGGATGACAACTGTAATGGGTACAGTGGAGCTAAAGGCTTTCCTTAAGGAAAATGTTTGTGTATGTGTTCATTCCTAAGTGTGTGAAAAAAAATTCTTTTTATTGAATATTTGTGTGACAAAAGTCTATTTTGATTTAAAATCTTGTAAATATAAAATATTACTCAACCATTATGTAAAACGCCCTTAGGAGGACTGTATAATGGGGCAAAATGTATCACAATACAGGCTACTTTTTCTTCATTGAATAATTTTCTCTTATTATTATTTTTTTACTCTTATTATTTAGTTTTTATACAGTGACAGGTATCTTACAATAATAGTACAGGTAGGCCTATATTTCATCACTAAATCTTTGTGATTTGGGCCCATTTGCACATTTATCTGAACAAATGTATTCATTTGCGGAGATGTTTTGGGCACTTTTATTTTACAGGAAACCTGTAAAGTAATTTGGGAAGTAATGTGCCTGAAAATGTATGTGACAATAGCAACAAATCTGTAACATTTACAAGAAAAATCTAATCAAATCTAACCTTTTGGCATTGCGCATAATAAACTTATGGGCTAGAGTAATTTTACCTGAGGGGCTATAGTACCATACCACACCATAATGGGTGTTTAAATTCATTAGATTATATGAAGGCCAGCAGACCAGTTAGTCTTCAAAATATATAGTTTACATTCCACACTGAATATCTGAGAGACTGTTAATCATAGGGCCTATCAAAGAATTGTGGAGAATAGGAGGGTAAATTCTCTTTCATTGAGCAAATGAAACTTTCAGCCGCCCTCTTTGGAATGTGAACGTGTCTCCCACGAGTCTGTCTAGAGCTGAGAAAATAGAGAGCGGGTGAACTTTCACTTATGTAGGTGACAAGAATAACAGTACCGGCTCTGACACATCCAAATAAGTCACATTCTTGTTTAGCCCTTTTACTTCACAGAACAAAGCACGAGCGCATTAGCATTTACTGTGGGAACTGCATGCAAATTGTCATCTTTGGACCATAAAAATGTTAACACTCCCCCCATACCAGGTCACTTAACCACCTTTTTTTCAAGTGAAAAATGTGACATTAAGCACTTGGGAAACAGTTGTTCAGGTTTCATATTCCTTGATCCTTTCATCTTTTCTTTGCATAAAGGTGAGGTTCAGTGACACGCATGTAATGCGTTACATGACTTAGGCTAATATTTATCATATTTAAAATTACATTGTCGTCATCAGCCTGTTTCTACCTAAATGTTGCTACAATTGAAAACATCTTCTGAACAATAACAATGCTTAGACTACCTTTCTGAAACTGAATCACAGTGAAACTGCCAGTTCAATGAACACCTGTAACTGATGTAAAGTGGTACAATTAGTAAACTGGTTACAGCAGGTTGTCATGATATGGTTGTAACATTTTATCTCCTCTGTGACATGCAGAAACATTCACTTTAATCTCTGTTCTGGCTGATTATTCCTCATGAGTGACACTTTCCTTCTCAGTTCACCTCAACGCATACAATTCTGAGTTGCATTCAGGCTTACAAAGACACATACACCGCACAAGGCAGAAGGACCCTGTAGCCTAGCAACAAGCAGCTGTAATTGCTGTGACACAAGTGAATTAGTGTTTCTGCTCTAAAACAATGGGTCGGTGCAGTTCTATCTCCTGTTGGACTAAGGTACTCAGTGACTTTGTCATCAGCTGGCATCTACTTTTAGCTTTCTGTCTACCAGAGGCTGTTAGTCGGTGAGAGTTTGTTTCTCAGCACAAATGATCAGCACAAATGGCTCTTTAAATGCTGCCAATAGCACCACAGCAGGTGAAGGTATACACCTGAATTCATGGATCAATGCTCTTTCACATTGAGAGAGTGGGATAATGCTAGCTTGGCTGTTCTACGCAACAGCAGGGGATGTGTCTGTTTGGCAAGTGTATATGCCCTTGTCTAAATACCATCAACCAGGGCGGAGTCTGCTCTTTCGGTATGTGGGTGCAAATGAGAAAGTCTGGGTTAGGTGGAACTTCCAGAAACATTTGGGGAAAGTGGGCCAAAATGATTCATGATGTATCTATATATTTAGTTCAAGATTTCACTGTCACTATATATACTAAAGCTTTGTCCTGAAGCATTGTCGCCTGCAATGCAGATTAAAAAAGATTTCCCATCCCCAAACACTTTCATTGCCCCCAACCCCCCC